CGAATTCTACGCATTATCAACAAGTAAGAAAATAAAATTGTAGATCATAATAATTATAACAGTTTTAATAATTGTAGCAAATTCCAATTTTTTCCTGTTTTTTTTGGATTTTTTATTTTTATTTTTTTGTCTAGAAATGACTGGACAAAACGCTGCCGAATTCTACGCGTCACCAATTAAGAAAATAAAATTGGATCAAAAATGACTGATTATAAACGGTTGTTGCGTCACCCACGTCGCAAAGTATGAATGTGACATGCTTTTTTTTTTTTTTTTTTTTTGTGACGCTGCTGAATTCTACGCATATCACCAAAAAATAAATAGGAGAGATTACAGTTGTGTCCTTAGGCAAGACACTTCACGCAAGTATGAATGTGACGTGTGGTGGTGTTTTTTTGTTTTGTTTTGTTTTTTTGTCCAGAAATGAAAAACTCTATGCATATGAAGAAGAAAGAAGAAGAAAACTGAAAATTTACTTCTTCTTTTAAAAGAAAAGAAAATTGATTGAGAATATCATAATAATAGTAATAATTGTGCTTTTTCATGTTTTTTAGGGGGTTTTTTTGTCCAGAAATGACGACATGACGCTGCCAAAATCTAAGCATATCACAAATTTAGAAAAGAAAACTGGTGATCAAATTAAGACCCAGACTTTGAAGCAGAAGAACTTTGAATAGAAGCGAATAAACGTACATAAAACTCTCCAAACACAACTTCGAGAGAGTAAACGAGAAGGAAAATAACTATAACTACGGTAAAAGTCTCTGAAAAGTCCATTCTTGCACAACGGCTCTGCTCCAAACTTGTAAAAAACCCACTGTACTTATAAAGGCAGCACTAAAATCCGTATTACTTCGCTTTCTCAATTAGCTTTAATACACTCGACAAAGCCCGTACTATTCCCCCGCACCGATTCTCTAAAATAGGTCGTGTCAGTTTATAAAAGCAAACTGTAAAAACGCGTCCAGAAGCACCAGAGACACGCCGCGCTGACCCACTGCCGTAGGCCGCGCTCATTTCCACAATTACACCCGTCCGAGTCTGGCAACAGAGAGATGAATTATGACGTTTATATCTTTTCTAATTTACGACCGTCGCCACGAACGACTTCTGGTGCGCCGTTACTCCACTTAGGCGCTTTAAAAGAAAAAAAAAAAACGAAAAAAAACACCGGGGTCCATTTCTCAGACTCACCTCCATTACCTGCACTCACATGTATTAAGTCTGTGGGTTTTGGCCCGGGCTAATAGCGAGCTGTCGGCCTACGATGTCCAGCCCCCGCGCGCACCAGAAGAGCGGACAGGAGCCAGTCTAATCCCCCTGATACGAGGAGGAGCGAGCGGAGAACTGACAAAGCATTCCAAAGATAAAGATGCCCTGGAATTCCCACAGTCGAGTCGGGGGGCAGAGGCAGGGGAAGGACCGGGGGCGAGACGTGAGTTTGTGAGAAAGATTTTTGAAGTTGACGTCAAAGCGAGGAAGGGAAGGAACTCGTCCACTCGTCCAGCAAGGCACCGCGGACGAGTAAATTCAAACCAGATCGGCGGAATCCGGTTCGGGAGATTTCTGTTTTGAAGAAGACATGCTGGGATTTGTTTCTGCTCTTTAGTTATGATCGATGACGCCCGTGGATCTTTAAGTTTGGACATTTTAAGTCACAATATTCATCCAAAAGCGACTTAATAAAGAAAACGACGGTGCACAACGGGAGCTGACGTCGCCGTAAACCATCACAACAAAGCGCCGTGCAGCTGTCAGCGCCTCCAATGGACAGCTGCAGATCACACTAGAGAGCAGCAGATAAAAAAAAATAAATAAAAAAAAAGACATACATGAACATTTACAGACAGTGGCTCACTCCTTTCTAAATCATTCGAGGAAAAACTAAAACTAAAACACAACCCTACCCACGCCAGTCCATCTTTCTCAAAATTAGGGAATAATTTAGCTCCAAAAAATATATTTATATAAGTGTGCACTGTATCATAAGCATGTAGCATATTAAAGATTAAGAAAATAAAACTGGAGAATGAAATAAGAACAGAGCATCGACCGACGTGCATCTCAGAAATGTACTAACTACGGGTCGAAGCGACGCAGACAGCAGGGGAAGCGACGCAGACGATAAGAGCTGTGATTGGTCCTCCCTACCGCCGCTCTGTAGACATTTCCTGACGGCTTTCCGACAGGAATATTGAGAAATAATGTGTTTAGTGCACCTTTGCGCACATGTGTTTACGTTTTATAGAAATGAAACTTAAAACCGCATGGCTAACTTACATAAACTAAGCGCTCAAAAGACAGTTCGCTCCTGGTACATGGTTCAGCTTCTCTCGGACTTAAAAAGGACACGACTCAGTGGAATATGAGTGTCTTTCTGTGACAGAGGAATATTGTACTAACGGTGAGTCTGTTCTGTGCTTTTATCGTGTTAGAGATGGTTCGTGTTAAACTTTTCAGAGATTATACGTCTGCAGGTCAAACACACAGACCGTTTATATCAGTGGTGTCAAACTCATTTATGTCCGGGGGTCGTATCCAACAAACTTTGATCCCAAAGGGGCCGGATCAGAAAACTCATGTCATATAAACCCCAAAAATAACAATAAGTTCAAATATTTGTGCAGAGAAACACAAATCTATTACAGAAATCTTTTTTAATTGATGAACTCTTTCTTTTACAAAATATTATAATATTATGAACAACCTGAAACTTTAAGAAAAATGCAATTTCAACACAATGTTTTAACATGAACTTGTATGTAAATGGGAATAAGTATATTTTTGTTGTAAAATCCTGCACTCGGCTCCACTTTTCTCATGTTGGACATTTTTCTGATGAGGGTGTCACGGTCAACAGTCAAAACGATCGTCCTTTAAGAGCGTTTGGAAAGAGACAAGTCTTCATTTGTGCTGCTCTGGTGGGAGGGGCCACGTACAGAGACGCTGGAGACGCTGTTATGCTAATTGGCACATAAAATTACCAATATTTAAATAGAAAATGTCATTAAAATATTTTAGTAGAAAATCAGCCGAGGGCCAGATTAAAGGTCTTGGAGGGCCGGATCTGGCCCCCGGGTCTTATGTTTGACACCTGTGGTATATATGAACGGACAGATATCGTCGCCCTCTTGCGTTTTGGCAGTGAATTACTTCGCAGTGCACAGACCTCGACGCAGATCCATAAATCAAAAACGACGCCGACAAGGCAACAGCGGCAGTGCGCGTTGAGTCGACGCAGAACTATACTTCAACCTTAACTTTTCAAACGCAATTTAGATAGTTTTAAAGTCGACAATCCTCCATTTCAGTCCTACCTTTGTTTTATTAGCGTCACTCCAGTCTATCTGTCCTACCTGGCAACACTGGCAGTTTGAGTCCACACCTGCACCTGTTTATATACGCACGCACACACACACACACACACATACATACATACATACATACAGGAGTCCCTCAGGGTACAGTCCTGTCTCCATCTCTGTTCTCTCTGTACACCTCTGATTTTAAGTTGAAAAAGCACCTAACAGTGACATTAAATTGTTCAAAAGCCTTTTTACAAGCCAGAATCACACCATGGCCTTGAACACAACCCAATATTTCAGATAGTGCCACATTAAAATAGTGAAATCTGTCATCACAACACACAAAGACGAATATTAAATGTCTCATATTACACAAAATATACTCTTGTGAGCTTTAAGTCGTGTTATCATCAAAAACATACTTGGAGTTGTGTTTTGTTTCATTCACACATGTTTAAATAATCCTAGTTTATCAGTCGGTTGACATCTCCAAAGATCAAAATGCTCTGTTCCACCTTGTGATGTCGTGTAGTGGTTTACCATTTTTCCCATAAAGACTCCAGGACTGATTCTAGTGAAGGTGTCTGGAGTTTAAAGCACTTCCTACATTGTATTTTTATATGTTGTGTGTTTTATTTAAGAGAAAAATATGCAAGGTTTGTGTTTTAAATATGTGTGAATGAAACAAAACACAACTCCAGGTCTGATAGATTAAAAAAACAGCGTAATATCGGCGCTTTAATATATTGATAAAGCAAACCAAAACTACATTTCACGTTCTTGATCTGAGTCTTTCGTGTCAGTGCGCTCAGGAAGCTGCATCAAAAACTAGAACTGTGAGAGATGTCTCTAAACAAAACGCTTTTCCATAACAGATTGTTTTTTTAGGATTTGGCAACGTCACCTCGGAGTAAACCAGCCGAGATGTCTTTGAAAACGCGACCGCAGCTGTTTGTGTGTGAATAACCACAACCTGACAATACACGAGACGCTGACAAAGCCTGATAAAGTTGTCATTTAGGCAGATTTTTATGAAATGGAAAAAATAAATTAATTAATAAAAAAAAATTAAAATAAATAATAATTATTATATTTATAATTATAATTATAATATAATTATAATGCATAAAAATACATATTAAAATAAAAATAAAAATACAAGAAATATTAAAATTTGATGACTACATATTAAATAAAATAAATTAATATTAAATTAAATAAATTAATATTAAATAATATTAAAATACAAACAATAAAAATAAAATATTAAAATATTAAAATAAAAAATAAAATATAAAATTAAATAAATAAATACATATTACATAAACTAAATATAAAAAATAAATAGTAATAAATATAAAACTATATTAAAATAATTTAAATAAAAATAAATAAACAATAAATATTAAAATACAATAAATAAATATTACATTAAATAAACTAATATTAAATTCAATAAATATAAAAAAATTAATAGTGAAATATTAAAAAAATATAAAATACGTAAAATAATTCTTTTTTTTTTTTTTTTTTACTTCTGTGGAGTATGAACTGCCATCTGTAATTGAATAAATGTAAGGTAGAGCTGATTAAAGTCACACTGTGGAACATTCCATGCAGGTGACAGACCCCCAATCAAAAATGTACACCTTTAAAAATAGTTCCTTTTAGCATAACTTTCCAACAGCGCCTCACCTGTCGAAGGACCTGAACTGCGTCGGGTCTCGGGGCACGTCTCCCACTCCCAGAAACGCCGGGGGCAGGAGGCTGGGGTCCACGCTGAGGTCGTCGGCGGGCGCGCTCACCAGGCTGCGCAGGATGTCCTTCACGTTCTTGCCCTTTCCTTCCGCGGGCGCCGAGGGTTTGACCTCCGTGGACAGGGTGGACAGGGCTTCGGAGACGGCGTCGGGTCCGTGGGCGGCGGACGAGGAGGCGGAGGAGAGCTCGGCCTCGCTGGGGGCGGCGGACGCGTGGTCTTCGCCGATGCCGGAGTCGTAACGCCGCAGGGAGACGCCGTTTTCTACCTCCGCGCCGCCCGCCACCGATCCACTGTCTGAGGAGGTGGAAAGACGAAGAAGTATGAGAAGAAAGACGAGGTAGAAAGGAGTTTGCAAATGTCACAGAAGAGAAACGTACTGGAATTTCTTCAAGATCATTGAGTTTTAAGTCATGTTTTAATGTTTCCTCGTCAAAAACAGACCTGGAGTTGTGTTTTGTTTCCTTTATTGTTAGTCTGTCTACATCTCCAAACCTCAAAACGTTCTGTTCTACCTTGTGATGTCATGGAGCAGTAGTTTTTTTTAACAGCTACTTTTACTTTTAGTTCAGTACAAATTGGCAGTTCCAAGGCTGAAACTATCCAAATGATTCTAGTGAAGGTGTATGGAGTTCAAATTTTCGGTTTGAGACAAGAACTCGGCCTAAATCTGCAGGGTTTATGCGTTAAACATGTGTGAATGAAACAGAAACACAACTCCAGGTCTGTTTTTGATGAGGAAACAACATTATATCATAAAATATGGTAATAGACTCAACAGAAACACGTCATGACAACTTCCGACGGGCTCTGTTCTAGGAAAAATGATCAAATGGCCCAGTTTTCTTTATCTACTGTATTTTTCGGACTATAAGTTGCACTTTTTTTCATTGTGCGAGTGTTAAGAGTGAAGCGTGGAGAGGTTCTAGTCTTGTGTGTGAGTATCTGCTGCTCCTGTTCCTCCTGTACCACTGTCACTTGGCTCTACTGCGCATGTCTCCTGCAGAAAGAGCCTCTGTTCTGTCTGTATCATGTCAGTCGATCGCACCGTTACTTCTGCACCACTGAACAATTTAACATTTAAATAAACTTATAAAGACGACTGAGAAGACTGAACACAAATGCCCCCAAAACGAAAATCAGATTTTGCAGATTACAAACTGCAAGTCGCAAAATATTCAGCCAAAAACGGTAATCGAGCAGCAGAAAAAAAGTTTGGAGTGAGAGAGAAACTTGTGACACCGGGAGGATGAACCATGAAACTTTCCTGAAGTCACTGGATGGATGGACAAAGTCTGGACTTCAGTGACACCGAAACCATCCTGTCGGGATTCAGAAAGACCCGAATAATTCTAACTGGAACTGATGCTGAGTCTGACGACAGCGACACAGAAGAGGAAGCGTCGCTCTGTTTACCTCCGGAGGTCGAGGAGTTGTTCAGAAGTGACACCGAGGATGAAGAATTGAATGGATTTAGTGATTTGGAGTGAGATGGAGAGTTTGTTAAACTTGTTCTGTTCTGTTGTTTATGTTATAGTTTATCTGAAGAACTGTTCATATGTGACGTTAACAGTCTGTTGTTCTCTCTTCTATTGTTTTTACTAGAACTTGACTTTCAACAGGAAATACCGGTTCCTGGTCTCTGATTTTATCAAATAAATTTCCCCCAAAAAGTGCGACCTACACTCCGGAGCGACTTATAGTCCGAAAAATACAACTTCCAGTGGGCTCTGTTCTAGGAAAAATTAGAAAATTTTCCAGTTTTCTTCATCTCCACATCATTGTAGTCTTCCATTCTGTTCGGCTAATCAACAATTCCAACCAAACCTCAGTTTTCAACATTTCCTCACGATGCACAACTCCGTGCACACTGGATACAAGCAATTAAAAGAGATGAGGCGCCAACTTCAAGATGATTCCAAACAGCACATACATATAGGAGAGTTTCATTGTTGACAAAAGCGCGCGTTGCATGCTGGGAATTATTTTGGTCGGCGGAAAGAAACACGAATTCAACATGACAGACGGAGCGAGAAAGCACGTAAAGGGTATTGATCCCGGTTATTTATCCACTCTAACGGCAGAGGACCCAAGACCATTTGACCAGAAATTGGTCATAAGCATCGACGGACGACAAATCACCCTTTTCAACCCCGACAAAAGGTGGAACAAACCAAATTTCTGGTCAGAATCACCAACTACCTGGACAAATATTCACTTGGGCGATATCCACAAGGACTTGGTGGAAACTCCTGGGCCATTCACAGCAGAAAAGATGAAAACCTCCAAGAGTCTCGATGTGTTGTTGAACTTGTTGGAGTCCACGGTTTGTTAGGATCTTCTACGTTTGCTCTGCGTGAAAGACGTTTAATTCACCGTTAACAGCGTTTCGCTTGCATCACAGCAATTTACAACATTCAGTGTGTCAAATTGAGGCGGCTTTGATCAGCAGCATGTTTGGTCGTGTCGAAACTCATTTTGTCAAGTGTCGGGAACTACACCAGAAGCGATCATTGCATCTTTCCAAACGTCTTCCAAAATATTACAAACTCTTTTCAACTCTGGTTCTAAGGAAAACGCTTATTACTCAACACTGATTCATGTGTGCAGCGCTGAACATTCCGTCATGTTAATCCAAAGTATCACTACATAAAACATCACAGACATAACATGGGCCGTGTACCTGTGCTTCTCGCAGACTGGGACCTTCGGGGGCCCTTCCTGTCGTGGTGGGGCTCCAGGATGTCTCGGTACTTCGACACCATCAGCACGGAGATGAAGTAGACCACGGCCAGAGCCAAGAACTGCGCCTGCTTACTGTCCTCCTGGAACAAACACCGCACACTAAACTATGTGCATCTGACTCGATTCAGATCCCAACAGACACACTCCATACACATTCCGATACCACAATGATAATAAAAATAGTCTTTATTTAGACAACAGGACGTGATTTTCAATATTAAATCATTGTACTTTCTTTTCTATTCCCTCCAGGTAGGTTCCATACTGTTCCAAAGGCGTATACGGGCCTGGTCAAGCAGAAGTAAACACAAGGCCAAACTCAAGTTAATGCATCTGATATAAAAATGTATTGAACAGATACATATGTACTCTAGTTTATGAAACTGTTCACCTTTTTTCTGTACCATTTTTGGTTCTAAAGTTCCATATGTTTTAAACAGACCATGTATGAAACATGGAACAAAAATTATTTCCCAAATTTCAAAGACCCAAAAATCATGTAAATAAATGGATGTATTTCATCATATCTTGTGTTATTCCATCTTTGAACTGTTGATGAAGGGACATGATTTTAAAAAAATATATATATATTTAAAATGATAAAAATTAGTTTGGAAGGACTGACATATTTTATAGAAATAGTTTCCTTTCATTTTGAAGTAATATTAAAGTATTCAGAAGAAAAAAGCGACAAATGATGTAAAATCCTGCACCTTCTACTTGTTTGCACAATTTTCCCTCCGTTACTTTTCCCTCCGTTACCATGACCTTTCTTAATAAAAAATCTCATGACTCAAAAAGTAAGAGGTTTTTCAACCTAATCTTGTACCATATGGTAGAAAACTATATGAAGCAAATATTCAAACCAGTTTGTTAAGGATATGTAAGTGAGAACCAAGAGTTATCACTGTTTGGATTTATTGCCCAAAAAGTGCTGCATATTTCATTCCCTCTGTTACCGACATGAGTTTTTAAATTTTTTTGTCAACAACTTGAAAGAATATCACAGGTTTAACTTGACCCTGTTGGAGTGTAACTCTTTCCTACATTCTGATACTTTACTTATTTCAATAGTTCCTCTAGTTTCTGAATAAGAGACATTTGAATGTCAAAAAATCCGCCCCTGTTTCCCTCCGTTACCACTTGACTGGACCCAAACTAGTCTATGTGCTCTTATATTTGTTCTGATACAGCTCAAGATCATTCTAAAACTATTCAGGAAAGGTTCAATTCTGTCCTGCAGACTTTTTTAGTATGAATACCTGCGAAAAATTTGTACCGTATTTTCAGCACTATAGGGTGCACTTAAAAGCCTTTAATTTCATCAAAAATGACTGTGCACCTTATAATCTCGAGCTACTTACATATGAATTTACTGGAGTGTCTTAGTGCGACTTTAGTAAACTACAAAGCCGCACTTGCAGCATTACGGCTCCTGTAATCCTTAAAGTATCAACCCTTTGCTTTGTCGACAGCGCTGCAAACCCTTGGCCTTCTTTTGAAATCTACTGAAATGGTTTTCTCTTCACACTTGTGCCATGTCAGGGTCAAGAAAAATACCAAAAGTGCAAAAGAATTCAAAGCAAAGGGTGGATATTTAAACGGCTTTCATAGTTATGGAGATTCTACAGTGTAAATAATCATGGAAATAAAGATAAAACATGAATGAAAAAGTGTGTCCAGACTTTTGACTGGTCGTGTCTCAGGTCCAGTGTGTTTGGTGCAGGACTCACTATGTCTCTGAAGACCACGGCTCGGAGGCGGTTGATGTCCATGTCCTGCAGGAGTCTGTCCAGGTCTCTGATGGGGGACATTCCACCGGTCACTGCGTCCACCGGACTCTGTGTTTAAGAACGAAAAAAAAAACAAGAAAAACATTACTCTTCTACGATCATCACTCCACTGACTTATCATATATGAAACCTGGAACTATATATATATATTGAGGCCCAATATTTATCATGTGGAGTGTGATGTCTGCAGAATATTCATAATGGGGAGATTTTCGTTATTATGGCCAAACTTCCATCTCTAATTCTGATCTCGTCTGATCTCAGAAGCTCGGCAGGATCGGGTCTGGGCAGCACTTGGATGGGAGTTCGCTGGGAATAGCAGGTGCCACAGGGGGGCAGCAGTGAGGAAAAAAAACAACAACAAAAAAACAGCTGTTTTTCCTTAGGCAAGACACTTCACCAAAGTGAAAGTGGTGTGAGCGTTAGTGATGGTGGTGGTCGGAGACGTCCCAGGGCAGCTGTGGCTACAACAGTATCTTAATGACCATAGAGGGTGAAGCGCATTAACCTTCACCTAAGGGCAATTTGTCCTCACCTGGATTTTTTTTCCTAATTTTGCTTTTAAAATTCCCCCTTTTACCCCTTAATGAAGTGTTACACATCCATTTATTTCAGTACAAACTGTTATTTCACTGCTGCTGCTGTAGTTGTGTCATGTGGATGTAATAAAAGATACAGAACCAGAAATACACATGAAAAAATTCACACTCTTTCATACAAAACTCACAGCAAACATGTATGTATGTATGTGACTTTTTGGACATAAATAAGGCTTAATTTAGGGCCTTAGCTACAACAGTATAAAATATCAAATCTGTAAGTAAATTAAAAATCTCCTTTTTGCCTCAAAACAAAAGAAAGTGCAATGGCTTCATGCCTTTTCTGATGTCAGTCATGAAAACAGCTGGTGTCAGGTCCAGGGCACAGAGCCACATCACTTCTGAATTTCCATGGGGTTTATTATATTTGGATTTACACATTTCAAATAAAAATAACAAGAGATGCACAATTACACAGATCAAGATGTGTAATTTGCCATTTATTTGAGAAATAACTGCACTTAGAGCGATTTTTTCAATTGTTACAAAGACAGACGCTCGATCATTTTGACTCACTAAACTCTTTGGCAAAGTTTGGGCCGAACAAACTGGACGGAGCATGAGTTTGGCCATAAACAAAGTTCCCATTGGACACTAGGATAATGCCGGAAATCTGCTCGGAAAGACACGACTCTCAGCTTTTCAAAAAATATTTTATGGTTGTAAAGTTATGCACGGTTAAGTAAAACATATTCCCAGATATCGTATACAAAACCTTTGGCCTGGAAGGGTTAATAAAGCACTGTAATTAATTTAATGAATTTATTGATGATGTAATAAGAAAAGATTTGCGCTGTAGAGGGTTGAAAAAGTAACTGCGTGATTATTGCTTCATTTTGCTGTATAAAGTTGAGATTTTCTATTTTTTATTACTTATTTTTTCTATTTTATTTTGGCTTGTATACATTTTTACTTTTCTCTTGCCATCTTTTTGCTACTTATTTAGAATTTATTATCACCATTTATATTTTTAACTCTTTGTTATTATAATTAGGGGTGTCAAATTATCGCGTTAATTGCGATTAATTAATTACAGTCATATTTAGCGCGTTATGTTTTTTAATCGCGTTAATCTCATTTTTAATTTCTAACTTTAGTGTTTCTGTATGTGAGTTTCTTTATTATAAAATCTGTTTTTATGTGTTGTTGGGACAACAACACACACACACAAACACATTTATACATTTTTTTATTTCGGTAATTCCACTCATTGCCGGAAACCCACACAAAACGTGTGCAGTAACAGCGTAAGTAAACGTCATGTTAACGTTGGCGGCGTCACAATGGACGAGGTCGTAGAGCCAGTAGAACAGAGGCAGCAGTGCACAGGTAAAAACACATTCATGTCTTGGAAATTATTCTCCCGACGTGAAATATAAAAGAAAATAACAAATATAAAATCGCCTGAAAACAACCTGCATAGACTCATGATGTCTGCACTACTGTCCTATAGTGACCTGCCACATGAGGGGACACCAAGACTAAAACCAGGACTTATCCAGTCCAGGACTAAACCAGGTCTAAACCAGGTCTAAACCAGAACTAAAACCAGGTCTAAACCAGGTCTAAACCAGGACTAAACCAGGACTAAACCAGGACTAAAACCAGGATTAATCCATTCCAGGACTAAACTAAGACTAAAGTAGGACTAAAGCAGGTCTAAACCAGGACTAGAACAAGGACTAAAACCAGGACTCATATATAAAGCATTTCTCTATCAATAATATTTTTTAAATGGTTAAGGAAAGACTGGACTTTTTATTGTCTTTAAGTAAACAAAAGTTATTATGTTCAGATTTCCTCGTCTTTGCAACTTTACAGCAAACAGTTTCTTATTCATGGAGACTTGGGCTCAACAGCCAAATTTGGAGAGATTTGTTAAACAATAAATGACTTTATAAAGTCACTTTTTTGTTCTATATCAGTCTTTTGATCTGCCACAATAATGTAATAATGAATTTAAATGAAAATACCTCAAATTGAAGCTTTTCTCAGCAATTTTTAGGTGAGATTAAAATGAGATTAATTAGATTAATTAATTACAGATCATAATTAATTAATCTCTCAATTTTTTTAATCGCATGACAGCACTAATTATAATATATTGTGATGTGTGAGCTACTGTGTCCAAATAATTTCCTTGGTGGATCAGTAAAGTTTGTCTGTTTCAGCTGACGCCCTTTATTGATACTATATAAACTGTATTTAAAATGATTTACAGGGACTATCTTGCGTTACTGTCAATGTGTCAGTGGAATAAAATGGTTCCAATATTGTCGTTTATCACAGTATCTCTCTATAAAACATCGTGCTTTAATATTCTCATCGAAGATATTATGACAGATCCAGGACCAGCCAGCTCCTTTTACTCACGGCTTCACTTTTATTAGTCTGCGGGGCTAAGGTTTCAGGGCTCGGGGAAGTGAGTCCTCTGGAGACGCTGTCCTTAACATAATGGTTTTTCTATAGAGCGGCCGCTGCATTATGGATGAGCTTTGGCACCGGGTTCAGGGAAGAGCCGCGCGACGCTTACTGGAAGTGGCTGTATCACATCAGAAGGGCCGCGGGCGATGGGGCCGCGCCGTGTGACCGAGGAGAGGGCGGCGTGTGAGCGCGAAGACTGAAGGACAGTGATTCTGTTTCTGAGAATACGGAGCGCTGTTATTGACTTGAGTTATTCTAGATGTGACAAATAAATGGATAACTCGCTGGTGGAAATCAATATTCACGATTGTTTATTACAATGGTAAAAAAAAGTATATACAATTATTTAAAGCGCCCAAATGACGCCATTTTCTGACCCATGCTTTTGTGTTTTAATCCGTGTATCATTCGTTTTTCAATATAAAACCAAAAATAAGAAAACGAAAAAACAACAGTTTTCTTCATTATTTGTCTCCAAAACCAAAATGAAAAAAACAGATAATGATTCGTTTTTTTCAGTTTTCGATTTTGTGTTTAAATGAAAAATGGAAAAAACGGATAACGGCCGTTTCCCGTTTATGTGACTTCAGTGACTGCGATGCCGAACTTTTGCACCGGGTACGGACTGAACCAAGACTGATCCAGGTCTGAGACCAGACCGGGACCAGAGCAGGACCAGACCGGGACTGAGACCGGGACCAGAGCGGGACTGAGACCGGGACCAGAGCGGGACTGAGACCGGGACCAGAGCGGGACCAGAGCAGAACTGAGACCAAGACCAGTGGTCCAAGCGGTTCCATGTCATCGTCTCCGCGCTGGTTCCGTGCGGGGAAAGTGAGAATGTTCTGTGGACTACAGGTCCGGACGAGCTGCTCTGGTCCTTCGCGCTCAAGAACTGCGGCTGGTTCTGAGGTGGAGCAAAACATCCAACTGACGCTTTCACACCAACGAAAACGAACTGAACTCAGAGCTTTTGGTTCAAATGGACCAGGTCCGGGACCAGAACGGGACCAGAGCGCTACTGAGACTGGGACCAGACCGGGACCAGAGCGGGCCTAAGACCGAGACAAGACCAGGACCAGACTGGGACCAGACCGGAGGCTCAGAGCCCACGGCAGGGCTCTGAGCCAGGGGTCCGAGTCCCACCCCGCGGAGGCTTGGAGTCAAAGCTCGGAGTCCGCCCTGGTCCCGCTCTGGTCCCGGTCTGTCCCGGTCTGGTCCCGCTCTGGTCTCAGACCTGGATCAGTCCTGATTCAGTCCGTACGTGGTACAAAATTCTGGCATCACAGTCACGGAAGTCACGTAAACGGGAAACGGTCATTATCCGTTTTTTCCATTCTTTATTTAAACACAAAATCGAAAACTGAAACAACGAATCGTTATTCGTTTTTTCATTTTGGTTTTGGAGACAAATAGCGAAGAAAACTGTTGTTTTTTCGTTTTCTTATTTTTGGTTTTACATTGAAAAACGAATGAACGAATGACACACAGATTTGTTTTGTATCCATTGCGTGTGTAATGTGCATTCGTGTCGAACCGTTTCAGTGCAGGACGTTCAGTTCGGTGCAGGACGGTGCACGAGTGAGTTTGTGCAATTTGTGTGTGTTTACATTCGGCCACTACATGTGCAGCTACACAGAAGACTCGACTCTTTAATATTCAAGAAGAAACTCGTCCGTGATTGGGGCAGTGTTTCCCACAGCGCTTTATAGTTAGGGCGACCACCTTCACAACAACTGCCCCCCGACTTGACTACGTCCCTCCGAACCACGTGAATCCTCACAAAACTACGATCGTCGTGCCCCGGTCCTCACTTTTGCTTTTGCTGGCATGAAATCTCCTGCAGCGGATCTGTACTTACTGCAGACAATGTGGACAAGTTTGTTTTTCTGGCCAAAAATATGAAGATTGAGTAAAACTTCATACTGGAACCGTTACTGTTGCGCTTTACCTTTTGAAAAGTTTTGTTTACTGTTTACAAGGATTTTTTTTTTATATATATATATATATATTTCATGCCTTTGTTGCTTATTTGAGAATATTTTAACCTGGAACAGCTCAAACGTGGAACAATCTTCCTGAAGATGTGACACAGACTCGACTTTGACATTGTTTAAATCCAAGCTCACAACGGTTCTGTTCAGCTGCACACGACGGAAAGGTTTTCATTCTGCACTCTTCTCTCTAATTTATGTATTTAATGTCTCTCTCTTTTTAATTTTATGATGATTATTTATGTTTTCATTTGTTTTTATTATGATTTTAATATATTTCTTATTCTGTAAAGCACTTTGTATTACTTTGTGTACGAAATGTGCTGTATAAATAAACTTGCCGTGCCTTATTTAACATATTAGTATTACCAAGCAGCACTTTACATTTATTTTATTTTCCTGTTTGTATAATGTTAAGACAAATTGTTGGTTTAATAAATACACAAATTACAACAATCAAATGGTTTTGTTTCATTTTGTTCCCATACTGAACCGAAAATGAACCAAACCGTGACCTCAAAACCAAACCGTGATTTTTGTACTGTTACGCCATCGCTACAATCATTTGGATCATTTCAGTGACAAATTGTCAATCTCTAGTGAACAAAACGTAGAAAGTAGCTGTTAACTTGAAAGCTACAGACGGAACAGAGCATTTTGAGCTTTGGAGACACAAACAGACTAAAAATTAAGGATTATTTGAACATGTGTGAATGAAACATGAGGTAACAGCTTTATAATGTGACTGAAAGAGTCAACAGGACGTTTAATTAAATACTGACATGAAAAAAATCACTCTGAAACAACAATTTATAACGTATAATTGTGATCTCACTGTCCAGGTTATGAACAAACCTAAGTGTATTATTATTTTGGTTGATTTGAACACTGCCCTATAGTTTTACATCATTATTGTCCATAAACTATAACGTACTGGTCATTGTTTTTCTGATGTGGCCACTGGAAAACAGAAACTCTGAGAAAACATTACCCCGAGGTCAGAGTTCAATCCTCTGAGGGAAAAGGGAATGCAGCAATAGAAACCGTTTTGAGAATACGCCCTCTGGTCTCTAGGAATGTAACAATAAGTACATGTCTCGGTACGATGTTTTCACGATATTTATTGGGATATTTTGTGGAGAAAAACAAAATTGTGAATATACGACTTTTCTGTCATAATGCAAATAATTGAGATGTAAAAATGTTTAATAACAGTGATTTTATTGTGGAGATTGGACTGAAAAAGAGCAAAGGATCATGGTCTATGTAGTCCTCTGTTTTTTTTAGCTGTTGCTGCATCATAACAATGAATTTAAACAAAGAGACTTGTAGTTCTTGATAAATTGTGATGGTCCACGATATTACTGTCAAACTTCTGACAACACAATATTGAAGCAAAGGAGAAATTCAATTTGTCAGCTGGACAATTTTTAATTTTATTTATTTTTAGTTTATTTGATCAAATAGGTTTCGCATCTCATCCAAGCTGCTTCTTCAGTTCTGGTCAGACGCTGGTGGACTCTGTACAAGTGTCTCCATGTCCGAGCACCAAAGTCCATCTGTGACATGTTAGTGTCATATGAACATCTCACACTCTGAGGAGCTCAGGGACCAACTCCTGCTGGTGCCCAGAGTCACGACTAAACAAGGGGAGTCAGAGTTTCAGGTTCATGCAGCTAAAACCTGGAACAGTCTGAACATGTGAGACAGACTCTTCTGTGACGCTGTTTAAATCCAGACTCAAAACATTTCTGTTTAACTGTGCAAATAACTGAAAGGTTTTCATTCCGCACTCTTCTCTCCAATTTATGTCTCTCTTTTTTATTTTAATCTTCATGATTATTTATGTTTTGATTTGTTTTTATTATGATTTTAATGTATTTCTTATTCTGTAAAGCACTTTGAATTACTTTGTGTACGAATTGTGCTGTACAAATAAACTTGCCTTGCCTCTGCTTTATATCTGCCTGAAGGAGGAGCTACCTGCACTGAAACTACTCTGAAACTCACACCCTACTTGTTTACAGTTTCTGTTTGTAACTTGGTCTATTGAACTCCACATGACAATGCTCCTGGATTTATTTATTTTTTTGCGTGTTGAAAACAATTCGCATCCACACACGTGTTGGATCAATAAATATTCATGTCCAGACGACAACGGCGCACTGAGTGAAAACCATGTAACACATCTGCCCCACCTGTATGTGGCGCTGAAAACAGGATACAGCCAGAGCCACTGGACACTACAAAGAGCACATGCACATACAGTTCTTTCTGCGCAGGGTTTTCTTCTGGTCACATGACAATGACGGAGTTGCATCATCATTGTTTTTTCCAAAAGCTGTGGTTTGCTTGTCCACATGACAATGCAACGCCGGCGTTCTCAGATTTTTCTACTCTGGAACTCGCTTTTTAAGAAAACACAGTTTTCGCCGACCTGAACCGCCAGCTCCATGTGGATGGAAGGCCAAAACAAATAAAAACCTCACCGTTTCAACCAAAAAACATTGTCGTGTGGACCCCATCTGAGTGTTGGATGTTACTGGCATAATCAGGGTGAGGATGGGAGCTTTCACACCTCTGGACCAGACCTGACTGTCCCTGTTGGTTTTGTTGTTTTGATTTCGTTGAACATCTTGGCTGAAGTTCAGTTTCTTCTCTGAGGCTGTCAGACTTTTGAACAGTGCACACCGACTTCCTGCTTGGGCTGCCTCTTTGTCTTGCCACGTTTTTTTACTTGTACTTGCTCATTTGAACTGCTAAATGTTGTTGTTTTGATGTATTTACTTTTTAACATTGCGATAACACTTTATAATAACTACACCTTATTTAGCCTTAATAAAGCATGAACAAAGACTTAATTAATAATGATTCACGCTTAGTAACTACTTAATTACTACCTTAATTAGCACTTGCACTTAATCTGCCTGTGCTGTAAATAGTTACTCATAATTATTTCATACTTAATTACTCATGAACTAACCATTTGAGCATTTATTAAGCATGAATAAACTATGAGAGAATGATTTACTAATAATATAATGCAATGATCATTCAGGCAGCTGTTATCTGTTAGTTAAGTCTTTTTGAGAGCTTTTCTAAAGTGAAGACGAATTATGATTTATTAAGCATTTACTAATCGTGAATCATTATTAATTAAATCTTTGTTCATTATCAGTTAAGTCTTTGTTCATGCTTTATTAAGGCTAAATAAGGTGTAGTTATTATAAAGTGTTACCAACATTGCTTATTTTTTTTTGTTTTTATCTCTTTCTGGATCACTGGGCCTCGGGGAGCACGTTTCGTTCTGTCCTGTGTTCCTCTCGCATGTTCGAATGACAAAATAAAGAACCTTGATTTAGGTTTGAGGATGGAGTTGTAGATGGGAGACTGATGATGTCTGAGGCCTCCATTTCTGTTCAAGGAAGGGTTATATTTCCAAACAAAAACAGCCTTTTTAACTCCCCTCTAAAACCAATTCTTTTCTCTGGCTCAGATCTGTACCTCACTGTCCTCAAAGAAGTGGCCCGAGGCTATGGAGTAAGAAAGCTGTCAAAAATATTCGAGCACATAGAACAGAAATCCGTGCATATTTGGTAAATCCGTTTGTCTGTAGTTGCGCATAAAATAAATATTTGTAAACTCTCAAATGAGTCCAGTCGTACATAAAATATATTGTGTGTATTTTATCCATCAGAATACGAATTGAAAAATTACGACGTCATGAATTACAATCACGAAATGAAAATTTACGATTACGATTTCATCAGTACGAAAACGAATTCACAGACGGAACTTTACTGTCAAAAATACGTCATCACTTCACAGACATTATTCATCGAGCAGAAGAAACATCGATCAAGATCAAGACTGTGCAGCTCAAGTTTGTAGCAGAGTAAAAACAGAGTAAAAGCACAAGAAGCTACAACAGCGACCAACAAGTGGGTTAATTAAAATCTATTGTAAAAATGTCTTGAATTCAGGAACCGAACGCTGCTGTATAATATTGTGTAGAAACACCTCCTTTGAACGGGAAATTGCACCTATATGTTAGAAAACATAGTGGAGCCAGTTGGCCAACATCAGACGTAACGTTATCCCAGGGCTAATTAACAAATATCAGGTTCTCTGTATGTTTAGATTAAAACATTCACGGCTACAGCCACAGCGAGCATCAGTCAGTCTTCACTTCAGCTGCATTTCAGACAATGGGTTATTCTGAGTTATAATGGGTTATACATGAGTTATAATGGGTTATAATTAGCAAATCCACCCACGTCACGGTGACGTTAAACTTACCGGTAAATACTGTAAACATACCAAGGTGTTGCCTGTAAACACATGTTTCTTCTGCTCGATGAATAATGTCTGTGAAGTGATGACGTATTTTTGACAGTAAAGTTCCGTCTGTGAATTCGTTTTCGTACTGATGAAATCGTAATCGTAAATTTTCATTTCGTGATTGTAATTCTTGACGTCGTAATTTTTCAATTCATATTCTGATGGATAAAATACACACAATATATTTTATGTACGACTGGACTCATTTAAGAGTTTACAAATATTTATTTTATGCGCAACTACAGACAAATATGCACGGATTTCCCAAACAGGCACGGATTTCTATTTTATGCGCAGGAATATTTATGACAGCTTTCTTACTCCATACGAGGCTTTTAGTGGAGATGAACAGCAGACTGAGGTCCTGTGTTGCTACATCCTCTTATGAAGTGGCTGTTTTGTTTCTCCAACTCTCCCTGCAGTCGTCACTACACTGAACGGAGCAGACTGAGGTACGATATCACGATGTTTGGGTTATAGTTACGTCCCTACAGGTCAGTACATTCACACACACAGACACTTCACCTGTGCAGTTGCAGACTTGGACGTTCCCAGGACCGTGGCCGTGCGAGCTGCCGCCTCTTTGTTCTGTTTGACGTGAGCCTGTTGACATTCCAGACAGTTCCTCACGGCCATCGCGCACACTGAAAAACAAAAAGACAACAAAACTCATCAGTCTCCAGGTAAAACTTGTGGTAAAAATGTGTTTTTTTAAACTTTTTGTACATACTTTTATATCATGTATGTGTAATTTGAGCCCACTCTCTTACCATTTGTTTTATTGCTACTTATTTAGAAGTTTATTACCATTTTTATACTTATTTTACTCTTTGTTATTGTTATATATTGTGATGTTTGAGCTGCTGTGTCCAAGTAATTTCCCTTGTGGATCAATAAAGTTTGTCTAAGTTTAAGTCCAAGTCTGTGTACGTCTAAAACAGAGTAAAATAAAGAGTTGATAAATGTTTGATTAAAAATATTGAGTAAATTGTGAGGAGAAACAACTATAACAAGGTTAAAAGCTCTGAAAAGTCAACGATACAGAATAGGTCTGTCGCTCATTCGACAGAAAAAACAAAGATTTTCTTCATTATTTGTCTCCAAAACCAAAATGAAAAAACAGATAATGATTTGTTTGTTCAGTTTTCGATTTTGTGTTTAAATGAAAAATGGAAAAAGGGGATAACGACTGTTTCCCGTTGACGTGATTTAAACTGTGATGTCGGACTGAACCAGGACTAAAACAGGACTAAACCAGGACTAAACCAGGACTAAACCAGGACTAAACCAGGACTAAAACAGAACTGAACCAGGACTAAAACAGGACTAAAACAGGACTAAAACTGAACCAGGACTAACCAGGACTGAACCAGGACTGAACCAGGACTAAAACAGGACTAAAACAGGACTAAACCAAGACTAAACCAGGACTAAAACAGGACTGAACCAGGACTAAAACAGAACTAAACCAGAACTGAACCAGGACTGAACCAGGACTAAAACAGGACTAAAAAGAACTGAACCAGGACTGAAACCAGGACTAAACTAAACCAAGACTAAACCAGGACTAAAACAGGACTGAACCAGGACTAAAACAGAACTGAACCAGAACTGAACCAGGACTGAACCAGGACTAAAAACAGGACTAAACAACAGGACTAAACAGGACTAAACCAGGACTGAACCAGGACTAAAACAGGACTAAACCAAGGACTAACCAGGACTAAACCAGGACTAAAACAGGACTGAGTCAGGACTAAACAGGACTAAACCAGGACTAAACCAGGACTAAAACAGGACTGAACAGGACTAAACCAGGACTAAAACAGGACTAAAACAGGACTGAACCAGGACTAAAACAGGACTAAAACAGAACTGAACCAGGACTGAACCAGGACTAAAACAGGACTAAAACAGGACTAAACTGAACCAGGACTAAACCAGGACTAAAACAGGACTAAAACAGGACTAAACCAGGACTAAACAGGACTAAACTAAACCAGGACTGACTAAAACCAGGACTGAACCAGGACTGAACCAGGAACAGGACTAAAACAGGACTGAACCAGGACTGAACCAGGACTAAAACAGGACTAAAACAGGACTAAACCAGGACTAAACCAGGACTAAATAAAACAGGACTAAAACTAAAACAGGACTAAAACAGGACTAAAAACTAAAACAGGACTGAACCAGGACTGAGTGTCAAGACGGGCCCGGAGGTGCGCCCACGTAGACTGTCGGGTGATCAGGACTGAGACCGGGACCAGACTGGGGCTGAGACTGAGACCAGACCAGGACTAGGACCAGGACCACCGAGACAGGGACTGAGATCTGAGGACTGAGATCGGGACCAGACCAGGACGGAGACTGGGGCCAGACTGGGACCAGGACTAGGACTGAGATCAGGACCAGACTGGGACCAGACCGGGGCTGAACCAGGACTGATCCCAGGACTAAAACAGGACTACACCACGTCTAAACCAGGACTGAACCAGGTCCCGGTCTCGTTCACAGTTCTGGTTTCGATCTCCGTCCTGGTCTCAGTCCCGGTACAGTCCAGCATCACAGTTTAAGTCACGGAAACGGGAAACAGACGTTATCAGTTTTTTTTTCTCCATTTTTTATTTAAACACAAAATTGAAAACTAAAAAAACAAATCATTATCTGTTTTTTATTTTGGTTTTGGAGACAAATAATGAAGAAAACTGTTGTTTTTTCTTTTTCTTATTTTTTGTTTTATTTTGAAAAACAAATGATACGAATGATACACGGATTTTTAACCAGCCCCTCTCGATTCCGTGACACTGAGGATCTGAACACTTCCCCCCGTCGTCCTCTGCAGACAGAGACCAGAGGCGGTGAAAAAGCTCCGGTCGTGACAAGGTCAGAGCACCGGGCGACTCCGGCGACATCGCTCAGTCTCACCCTCCCCACCTCCGCCCCACCTCCACCTCCGCCCCGCTCCAAGGGCAGAGAGCAGCCTCCGTCCTGCATCACTCGCCCAAACAAATGACACGGAGGCTGGACGAATGCTGACCGGGCAACAAGATACGCCCTTTTACCACAGAAACCATCTCTCAACTTCAGCTGGACTCAAAGAAAAGAAAAAAGAAACTGGCTCCGTAATAATCAGACACTTTCACGTTAAAACAAGTGTAAAAATCGAAACTAGATTCTCATTTGAGCAGATATCAGACTCTTTTTCACTGACAAAAAATCTGAACTTTTCCATGACCTAAAGTGAATTTTCCATGACTTTACATACCTTTATGTAGATTTAAAGTTAGACAACTTTTATTGACCCACAAGGGAAATTATTTGGACACAGAAGCTCACACATCACAATATAATAATAACAAAGAGTAAACTATAATTGGTAATAATACTGTAAATTCTAAATACGTCCAAGCGTCTTCCAGACCGAGACAAGATCGATTCCAGGGAACTTCAAGACCGAGACAAGACCGAGTCCGTGCGCCTTCAAGACCGAGACAAGACCGAGTCCGAGCGCCTTCAAGACCGAGATCTTCATTTGAGCAGGTATTAGTATTCTCACTCTTTCACTGACAAAATTTCAAAACTTTTCTGACATAGACAAACTTTATTGATCCACAAGGGACCAGAAGGGGACCAGACCGAGACCAGACCGAGACCAGACCGAGACCAGACCGAGACCAGACTGAGACTGAGACTGAGACCAGCCCGGGACCAGACAGGAAGCTCAGAGCCCAAAGCAGGACTGGAGCTCGAAGCTGAGGCTCGGACCCCACGGAGGCTCGGAGTCAAAGCTCGGAGTCCACTCTGGTCCCGGTCTGGTCCTGGACCTGGTTCAGTCCTGGTTCAGTCCGTATGCAGTGCAAAAGTCCGGCATCGCAGTCACGGAAGTCACGAAAACGGGAAATGTCCGTTATCCGTTTTTTCCATTTTCATTTAATTAATTCATTTTTTTTCATTTTGGTTTTGGAGACAAATAATGAAGAAAACTGTTGTTTTTTCATTTTCTTATTTTTGGTTTTATTTTGAAAAACAAATGAACGAATGATACACAGATTTATATTTGGTACTTTTTTGGTTTAAAGACTTGAAATGACGTGAAACTCAAAGCAGACGACTTGGACTTGACTTGGACTTAAGGGTCAGTGACTTGAGATTTGACTTGGACTTGCCTGTATTTGACTTGGGACTTGACTCGGACTTGAGGTCAAAGACTTGAGACTTGCAAAACAACGACTTGGTCCCACCTCCTGCCCTCATCTGAATTTTGCGCATCATCATTTGCGTAATATTGGACCTTTAATGTTGAAAATCACCGTCTATTGTCTAAATAAAGTGTTTATTTTTAATTATTATCATCACGGGATCAAAATCTGTATCGAGTATCGGGTCTACTCCTTAGTATCGAAATCCAGTTTGAGATTTTAGCTTCGTCGTTTCAGCATTAGAGCCTCCTCCAACCCCCCTCACCTCCGTGCACTTGACAACTGACAAATGCTAACTCCGAACCATTTAGATTACCGAGGAGGGAATTATTCCGTCTGGAAATAGGTTGGCTTTTTCCATTAGGACTACTCTTTCATACGGCCATTTATAAAAAACAGAATGAGAGGGAGGGACGGGAGGGGCTCAGACGCTAAAACCTTGTTACAGTCTCGCTAAATCAGATTAGATGCCTGCTACGGGGAGCGCAGACCTCATCAAATATTCATTTCATAACGGCTGCTTTCTAAACTGAGACTTGTAGAGCCCTGGCATTTGCTTTTCACAACAACACCGTGAAATATTTAGTCTAGAAGAGCTGCTCCTGGTTGGATTTTGGTTCAACATGTTGTTCGTTAACGTCTAAAAGCAAAAACAGAACGAATCTGATGGAAACAAGAAGAACGGAGTCAGTATTTTTGAGAATACTGTACGTACAAATGAAAAAAGTGACTATTTCTTTCTTCGCAGCCGACGTCAACGACATTCGAATCAAATTAGACTTTAATCTGAGTTTTATTTTAACACAGTCTGACCGTAAAGAACTGAATTAGTCGGAGCTACAACAGATGAACTGATTTTGGTTAAATAAATCCCTTTCCAACATCACAGTCACAAGATTGTTCAAAGTAAGAATGTTTTACAAGGTATTTATCTATCTGTATTACACAATTAATTGAAAAATGCAATAGATAGATGTGTTTAATGCCATGTTGTGGAACATTCAAGGCAATGCATTACATCCACCTACTTCCAACAAAAAAGTTACATATTTCATCTTTAAATAAGGTCGCTTTTAAACGCAAAATTGACTCTTGTGCATCTAAGTTGTTTATATAACTATGTTATAATGTTGTTACCTCCTCAAAAACAAACCAGGAGTTGTGTTTTGTTTTGTTCAGATGTTTGAGCAGCACTTTATTACATCTATGTTGTCATTGTTAATAGCACTGACTTGGAACGCTGGGGGCTGTTTTTAAAGACTCTATTTGACATACAATATTTTCAACTATTTATTCCTATTATTATTCATGCTGCTGTTGACCTGAGGTGCAGTGTTTCATTTCTGTGTATTTTTTTATACTGAAATGACAAATAAATACTGATTCTGACTGTCTACATCTCCAAAGTTCAAACTGCTCTGTTCCACCTTGTGATGAAGTGG